GTAGGAAGGGCTTATCTCAGTGCAACATGTGAAAGCTTCTGCTAGATTTTTATACTGCCTTGCACTAATGGGGTAGTATAAAAGTCTGTGAAATGAATAAATATAAATAAATAAATATAGCCACAGCAATTACTGTAATCAAGGGTAAAATTTAAGGTGTATCCGAAGGTTGCAAGTAGAGAGTAAAAATATCAGTTGATACGGAGCTATATCAGTAACAAGAGCCAAAGGTACAAATATTTCTTGTGCTCTGTTTTTTAAAAATCAAAACACTTTACCTTACCTTGGTCTAGCATTCAAATCCATTTCATTTCATTTATGGTTCTTAAGGTCACAAATGCACTGAAAAGCCAACATATAAACCAGAGTGAAATTGCCTGAGAACTAGATCAGTCTGTGGGTAATGGCATTTCCTGGCACCCTCGCTCTTTTATGCTGGGAAACAGGCATGTAATTTTCTTGCTCAGAAAGCACAGACCATCATTCGGAAACAAAGATGTGCTACTGCAAGCCAGCAGTATGCATTTCAGGCCCCCTCCAGAGAAAGCAAATGTAGCATTTGTAGTATCCTGTAACCAACCCAGAAATCTTTCTTGCTACAGCACCGAGTTTACAGTATTCGTTGCCTCCTTCTACTTAGGGCTAAAATGTGCCTATTCTTTGCTACAGCACCGAGTTTACAGTATTCGTTACCTCCTTCTACTTAGGGCTGAAATGTGCCTATTCTTGATTCTTTAAAATTGATTGTTTTTTTGCTACAGCACCGAGTTTACAGTATTCGTTACCTCCTTCTACTTAGGGCTGAAATGTGCCTATTCTTGATTCTTTAAAATTGATTGTTTTTTTAATCGTAGCTCTAAAATTGATTGTTGATCTACAGCAATCGTAGCTAAACCTGTTTAGCTACAGGCAAACCTTAGCTTGCCTGTTTCATGTATTAGTTGCAAGGTCTTTGCAGGAGCCGGTGAGGTACAGTAAAATATTGATGCTCACTCGGCTTCAATTGACAGATTAGAATTGTAAACGAAACCTCTCTCTATGGAGGCTTGCTGACCATCCTTAAATCACTGAGCAGTGTAAGAAATAGTGGGTTTAAAAAGAAAAAAAGGAAATCCAACAGCACTAGATATAAGATGTAAAAAATATATTTTTTAAATTAGAGCAGAGGTAGTCACCTTCCAAATACTCTGTGCAAATGATCAATTTGGAAATGTAGCACAAGAACAATCTATCTGTTCCTCCCCTAGCAGCCCACTGGGTGGGGGGGGGAGAGGGAGAGATATAAATGAAGGGCAGAGGCAGAGTGGCAACCAGAGATACACACAGATACACAAGGAGACAAGGGGGTCTCTGCTCTCCCCTTTTGGCTCTTGCCTGCCAGCCCCACTGATTTCATGCCTCCACCCCACCACCCCACTCCCCAGTCATCATGCAGCCTCTGGCATATCCCTTCCAACCCTCAAAGAGAAGCAAGACTGTCCATCCCAGTTTTAGTCTCATAAAGGGTCATCTGCATTCTACCTTTCAGCCGTTCTCTCCCTCCCCACCCAGTGGGCTGCCAGGGGACAAACAAAATGTCTACTCTGGTGCCAGACTTGTGGCACAGTGGTTAAACTGCAGTAAAGCAGTCAAGACTCTGCTCACAACTTAAGTTCAATCCTGACAGCCTCAGGTAGCCAGTTAGAGGTTGACTCAGGCTTTCGAGGTCAGTAATTTGAGTACCTATCTGTGCAGCCTGCATAAGTTAAAATTGTAACCACCCAGAGAGTGCTTTAAGCATTATGGTACAGTATTGGTTTGGTTTTGAACGGGTCACCTGCAGACAGTCTTTGGAATTAGTCAGAAATCTGCAGGGTTTCTTCTATAAGAAACAGACTTGGGTGGTTTACCAAAATGCCTGTACAATCTGAAGTGCATTAGATGTATTTATTTATTTTTAAAGCAAGTTTTTCTGACCCTTGTGATGGCAGAGAAAGGTCTAAATGGAGTCTTTAAAAGTATTGCCCTGGGTATTCCTTTGTTATCATACACATGAAGCTTCTGCTAGTTTTCCAGTGACTAGGGGATAGGTCTGTCTGCCTATTTCCATAATACTGTAATTATTTATTCATATATTTATTGGTAACATTTGTATCCCACCTTGTGCCCAATGAGCTCAGGGAAGAATGTGTGGCTTTCCTACTCCCCCTTTTATACTTCTTACAGCCCTGCGAAGTAGGTCAGGCAGCCAGAGAGTGGCTAGCAAAGGGTCGACCAGAGGCATATGAGTCAGGAGGAGATGCGAATATTCCCATCAAAATATCCATCGATAGAAGCTATTCTTGTACAAAGGATGGATTGGGAAGTGTACGTGCACAAGGATGAGTGAACTGGTAAAAGCGGAGTGTCAGGAAATCTGGGTGGCTGGTGTAACCTTTCCAATCGCTGTGTTCTGAAACAAAGCAAGGGCCAGCCCCTGCCATTTGGCCGAACAAGACAGCAGACTTTGAAAAGGCAGTTCCTTGGCTGAAATCCAGTAATAAGAGGTAACTGAAGTAAGTCCATTGTTGGCTAGATAACTCGTTGGTTTAGGTCTCTGGTTGCAGAGGCAGAGGTTGAAGTGTTTAATTCTCCGCCATGCCTTCTGGGAGAAGATCCGACCTGTGGGGCTTTGAGTAAGCCGAATAGTCCAGGGGCACCCCAGAAAAAGGGAATTGTAAACCACTTTTGTGTATTCTCTACTGAGAAAACTCTGGAAAGGGTCACCATAAATTGGGATTAGCTCGGCAGCACAAGATTGTTGTTGCTGTTGCTGTTGTTAGAGCAGGCGCACTGAATTCGCAAGGATTTGGTGAATTAGTTCCATTGATTCAATGGGCCTGCTGTAGTTGCAACTTATTACTGGATTCCAGCCAGTATGAGGTACTCAATTTATTATTATTTATTGTTATTGTCAGGGAATAAAATAATTGCTTTTGTGTGTTTTTTCTGCTTTGGATACAAAAATAATCTGGCCCAGTTCAGTTCTGATGCAGTTTAATGAGGGTGGGAGGGGCCATCTGCTCAATGTTTGGGGGCAGCTTCAGTCAGCAGAATATTTTGGACCAACCCTGAACCAAAGGTCTCATTTCACACAGGGAAGGAGAAGAGGAACCTGAGTTAGAGAAGGGGGAACTGGACAAGCAGTGGAGGAGGGGAGAGAGACAAGGACATTTTCCATCCCTTGAAAATGCAATGATGCTGAGATAGGGGAACGGATGACTTGGGGTGTGGATGCGGTCCCTCTTGCCCAGGAAAAGAAGGGAGCTACCGCCAAACCCTACCTGTAAGTCCGTGACTCTCTCTCCCTCCAAGGGTCTAACTTG